AGCTGGTAACAGCGAGGAAGCACCGTCCTCACCTTCGGTCAGTATGTTCTCTCTGACGCAAGGAGACTGAGAGAGAGGTGGACATGTCAGAGGCAGTCAGGCCAGGAGTCGGGCTCCAAGCCCTGTCTCCGCGGCGTGCACTTCTCGTGCCTGCTCAGAAGTTTTGGTTTTGCTAGTGACGTTTCAGAGGACAATGAATAGACCATCACTGATAATGCGATGTGATACATTTGCCATCAGCTGAATCCTAGTGTTGCTGCAGTTGGCTCGTGGCTCGAAGGGATGAGTCCTGAGAAGGAGTAATGGGGTTGTGTGTGCGAATGTGGTGTGTGTGTTGGGGGACTAGAGAAGGTTACGAAAACACAGCAGAGTCGAGGGAATTGGTGGCAGGAGAGAATTTGTAGCAGAGCTATTTTTGGTTCCTGCTCTAGTTCAGTTTATGAAAAGGGGCCAGAAATACAGCTGTTTTAAACATTTATGACCAGGCACTCAGCTGTCAGGCATTCTTCCTGAAGCTGTCCTAGACCCTCCCTGGATGTGGCCACCTCTCTGCTGCCCTGGAAGGTGCACTGAAGTGATCCTCCCTGACAGACACGCGCCTCCCAGGTGCTCTGAATTCCATCAAACACAGAGGGCATTTCTGAGGCATGGTTCTGATTCCAGGACTGGACTCTTGCTTGAAGGACTGACATTACTGCACCTGGACACATTTTAAAAGTTAGAAATGACTTGAAAAGTCAAGTCTAGTTCCAAGTCTGTGTTAACTGCTGTTGATATTTGTATAGAGGTGTTTGTGAATTTACTCCTTTTTTTCTTACTGGTGCAGGAGACCTGGACTCCTGGCTCCATCATAGCCAAGCCATGTGTCAGGAGCTAAACATTTCAGTGCATGGAGGTGAACATATAAAGGGAATATTTGGTTTTGATTCTAATTTGCAGATCAAAAATATCCTCACAGCATTCCCTTGCCTTCTTTTGGTTTATATTCATATTCTACACTTAAAGCAGTGTGTCTCCTAATCTAATGTTAATAGTAAGAGTTTAGGTCTATAGGAAGGACCCTTCACAAAACTCTTTCACACGAAATATTGATGCGACTCTTTGAGCCAAAAAAAAAAAAACAAAAAAAGAGTCCGTGTTCACACTGCCCTTTCCCAGGTGAGGCGCCGGAGGCTGGGAGAGGGGATGGCGGCTGCTCCAGGCAGTGGCACAGCTGCGTCGGGTCCATGGCTCACTCGGGATCCTGAGTCTTCCCAGTTCCCCTTTCTTCCCCCACAGGCATAAAATATACACAGCCCCTGGTCTACACAGCAGTATCCAAAGGGGAGCGGTTAGACCCAGCAGTTCATTAATATTTCAGAATATTCGTCAACATTTGACTACAGACGCTTCTCATTCACAGCACTGTTGGAACACTGGCTTCAAGAAGCCAGACAGAAATCTTCTGTCTGGGTTTGCGCCGTCTGCTAGTGGAAAACAAGGACTCATGAAGTTTTTAGTTCTGCTTGCTAGCTCAGTTGTTGTTAGGCACTGAAAATCTGTAAAAAAAAAAAAAGTCTGCAGGTTTCATCAGTTGCTAAGTAGAAAATGAAAGCTTATTGCCTAGACCCAAATTCTGGAGATATCGCCCCTGACTTGGTGTCAGGACTCAGTCTGAATGACATGGTGAGATTTAACGCTTTGTGTTGCTGTGAAGACGTCACGACTGTGATCACCTGTGGTGATGCATTCCCTCTGATTTGTATTTCAGTGTTTAAATGGGTGAGAAGAACGTTGATTGCTCTCGTTCAGGTCACTTTTGGAAGAACCATCAACAAGTAAGTTGCAGGAAATTAGTATTTGAATTCATGCCCTACCTTTTGCCTTAACAGTTAGATTACCTCTGCAAGTGAGGGTCTCTTAGTTTCTCCTTGTATTTCTGATATGATTCTAAGACTGGAGAGGGAAGCAGATTTCTGCAAGAATCTCCCCCCCCAGAACACACGGTGCCCCTGAAGACAGAAGCTGGCACAGGCTCCCGCTGGCTGGCTGATGAGGGTCGGAAGATTGTTCTGTAAAGTTCTCTGTTGACCGTGGTGACTGGTTTTAGTACCTTGGCTGCAACGTTTTTATGTCACATGATGGAGATAAGTTTAAAGGATTAGACTCTTGAGCCAAAGGAAAGGAGGATGAGCATCGCATGGTTGGTATTTATTTGAAAGGTCTGCAAACCATATTTTTTTTTTTTGCCCTTTAATACAAGGTTTATTGTTAGAAAAATTTAGCTTAATACTCAGTTTCCATGAAAGGCAGTTTAGCAAAATCTGGCTAGAATAAAACACCATATATTCTTTGACCCAGTAGTTACTCTTCTAGCAATTTGCAGAGAAATTTAACCACGTGTGAAATAACATAAGTGTAAAAAATCTTCGTAAACCATTTTAATGGCAAAAGATTGGAAACAACATAAATATCTTCAACAAATTGGAAGCAATTTGAGGTCTACTGAGGGGAGTTATTGGCAAAATACACACACCCACATACACATATATGTATGTATACATATGTCAATGCTTATAGTGGAGTAGCTCTAGAAAAATAAGCAAGAAAATGGCCTCCAGAGAAGGTAACTACATGGCTGAGAAGCAATAGTGGGATGGAAACTTTCCTTTTGCCAAAGACTCTTTTTTAATGCCACCTCAACTCTAAAAAAAAAAAAAATAGTATTTCCTCTTGTTAGATGATACCTGAGTATCCATGAGGGGTGTGTGTATCCTGTTACACTGCTATATAAGCCATATGTGTATTCTAAACTGTAGCACATTATCCATATTCATAATGGTTATATATACTCTATACCTAGCACTCTTCAAGCCTGTCAGCAAAATGACTTCACCACACAGGAAAAACAGACTCAAATGCTAAAATTGAGTGGAAAATCAATTTAACAGCAAAATATGTTTTAAGATGAAATTAATAAGTATTTTTCCAAGTAAAAGATTTAGTTGTCAAATGTATGTGCAAGGCTAAAGTGAGTTTTATTACACAAATCTTATAAATTTTTGTGGGAAACATAATAAAGAACATTTTATATTTTTATTCATTTGCAAATAGAATATATTTCCTTTGTGGTGATAAACCAACATTTACTTCTGTTTATTTTTAAGATTTTTTTTTAATGGTGTTAGTGACTTGTTTGGTTGGCTTAGTATTGTGGGCTTTTAACAGAAAAATGCCTTGTTTAACTTACAGTTTCAGTCTGATGCAAACCTCTTAACCTTAGTACTGACAAGCCTTGGGTAAAGTTTTCAGAATGGCCCCATTTTTCTGAGAACTCCAGACTTGCACATTTCTTTTTCAGTTTCAGAAAGTCATGCATACGTTCCTTGCTCCAATTTATGATGTTGGCTCTTAATGCTAAGATGAGCAGCTGTGGGTTGAGAGTGATACACGTTAGGCAGTGGTTTTCCTGGCCGGGGGAGGGGCACCAGGTAGGCATCTCCAGGCTGCTGGCTCAGGGGCTTGTCCTTGGGTAGAGAAGTGGCGGAGCCCCCCACCCTCTGCTGTTCTGCCTCAGGCAGACGATGCCACACCATGAGGAGCTCCACGTGCCTGCTGCCTGGTGCTGACTGTCATTTCATGTTCCAGAATGGCTGCAGAAGCTTCCTACGGTTTGGGCTAATACAAAGTCAGACTTGAATTGACAGAAAATATGTAGGAGATGGCCTTTGGTAAAAGCCACTCATCTAATTCTCAGTTGCAAATTGAAATTTTCCTTCTTTTCTTCATGCAGTGCCAGTGAGTAACCCAAAGACTCCAGGCAAGACAAACTGTGTTGTGATGTAGATTTTATTAGGCAGGTCAGCAGGTTCTCTCCTAAAGCAGAAGTCCCACTGAATTAACAAAATTATCTTATTTAGTCTAGGGCCGAATTGCACAGTTCTAAGCAGTACTGGGAAGTGTCTTAGGAGACACGCAGTTACAGGATTACCACAGTTCTGACTCTTAGTGGACTCTGGTCCACTAGTGCTGGGTTACTGGGTGCAGTGCTGGGCTTGAAACGGCTATTTCAGATACTGTTCCTGAAAACCAGACATCGTCCCTTTAAAAATCTGGTTGGGAAGTCAGATTCTTAAAGGGCTGTTTGATTTATTATGTGTGAGTGAAGTTTGAAGTCCCGGGCCTTTCTGGTGCTAAGAGCCGAAGGTGATTCCGCTCGCCCTTTCTGCAGAGACCTCCCTCCCGCCCTCAGGACTGCTCCTCCCGGGAGCTCTGCTGGGCTCTTGACAACAGCAGTCCTGGGGGTGGTTGGAACTGGACTGCTGAAGTCGGCTTTATGGAAGACCTGAGTGACCGGATAAAAGCCACTTACTTATAACTCTGCGGGAGGTTGGAGTGGCTGGATGGCAGTGTATTCTCTCAGTGCTCCCCTTTGTGGGGAAAGGGGTATCTTCTCCCCTCTGTCTACTGAGCCTGTGAGATGCTTCCCGGGTGGGAGAACTCTGCCCAGCACCCCCAGCCACAGCAGCCCCAAGAGACGACTCGTGACAAAGCCTGCTTCTCCCCAGGACTGCCAGAGCTCAGGAAGGTCTTCAGGCCATTTTTCGCAGTCTTTACATGGATGGATGTTTTCAGTTTGCAACACTTTATGGAGAAATTACTATATTAAGTACCATGCACAGTTAGAGTAGTTGCCAACTTCAAATGAATCCATCTCCTCTCAGTTCTTGCCTTTCAAAATTGAAAGACACCGTGTGGCAAACATTTAGAGAAATCAGTAACAGTGGAAACGTGAGCTGCAGGAATGAATGGCCATCAGTGTTACCAAAATGAAAGATAACTTTCAGAGTCAGCGTTTAAAAATCCAATTCCTAGTTTATTCATCAAATGCCTAGATCACAGTGTATCTTAACCTACCCACTGATAAATGCCTTTTGAGAAACAGAGAATACAATTTTTAAAAACCTCATCCAAGACATATTTTTCTCTTAAAAGACAAATTCGGGACACAGTGAACTGGATTTTCAGTGAGCAAATGTTGGTTTACTACATCAACCTTTTCCGGGATGCTTTTTGGCCCAATGGGAAGCTGGCGCCGCCAAAAACAACCCCACGCCAAGAACAAAGCCGAGCGCACAGCCAGGAAACAAAGCAGAGGGCACAGCAGAAGCTGCTCGAGAACATTCCAGGTGAGGCCCATGTTCTGCTCCTGAAAGTCGGACAGAAAGGGAGTGTCGTCAGCCCCACTAAGGCATCTGTCACTTAGGAAACATTATTTACAGTGAAAAAAAGTGATTGTACCTTTTTCTTTCAAATCATGTCTTGTCCCTTGCTAATAAATTATACTGAGAGTCCCCAAAAGAACAGTACAGGTTATAATTTCACTAGAGCAATGTTTTAGACAACAAAATTTTATACTTTAAAAATCCGTTTTGAGAGCTATGGTTTTAATTGGGGTATTAAAATTATAGTATGTATAAATGTCTTATATCAAAAAACTATTCTTCCCTGAAACACTGGAAAGAACCCACCCCTCACGTTCCTCGTGCCTTTATGTGCTGTGTGTGCACAGGGCGTGGCCTGTCACTGAAGGTCTGTGCACGGTGCACTTGTATCAGTAGCAGCTCGGAATATAAACTTAATTTTTCAGATATGCTTCAGAGCCTTGTTGGACAGCAAAATGCCCGTTACGGTATAATAAAAATATTCAATGCACTTCAAGAAACGAGAGCCAATAAGCACCTGTTATATGTGAGTAAAGCCTCCCAGAGGAGTCAGTTTCTTCAGTTGTTCATTTCTGTTCACATATGGGGGTAGATTTTAATTCTTTATGCTCGTAATCATTTTTATTACTTATAACTCTGAACCCATTTTCTCTGCTTTATTTTTGTCTGTTCAATTTGATTAAAAAAAAAAAAATACTCCCAGTAGATGCCACCTCCTCTTCCTAGCCTGCTGTAGTTTCTCTCTTGTGCGGTAACATCTCTGCCTGACTGCTTCGCTTTCTTATTTCAACAAAGCAAACTGTTTCCTAGCTGTCTGTCTTATAATAGTGAGCAATATTAAATACCCCTGATGGTCTGATGGGTCTGGTTAACGGCCCATGAAATAAATCAGTCTAAATGGAGTTTATAGAATACGGATTCCTTTGGAGAGTAACTTGTTCACTGAGAATCATCTCAGGCTTAAAATTAGATTTTAGTCTTAGATGTAGATATCTGAATAAATCTTTAGAGAAAAAGACTTTTTCTTTCTTTCTTTCTTGGTTCAGGTGCTGATGGAACTGCTGCTAACTGAATTGTGTCCTGAGCTGAGAACTCATTTAGATCAACTTAAAGCTGGTCAGGTTTGAGACTGCACAAATAAACCACCAGAGAAATGTCTGTACTAATAGACATGAAACATTTTCCTCTTTTCCACAGAGGGCTTGACTGAGAACCATACTGAACTTTTAGTTACCTCCCTCTAGTTTTATGTGAATTAAGCAGAATTCGGGAGGAAACTTGATGCTGTATATTAGGCAACAGAAACAACAACAAAAAAAAACACTTGTTAATGATTTTTATTTTAATATAAATCCTTTAAAGGACAACATACTGTTTGAAATATAAATGTTGATATGTGATAAGAACCTAGGAAATATTTTAAATATTTATGAAGTTTTGTTTTAAATGAAGAACTCTGAACATTGTACAGTTAATCTCCTCACTGAGGACTCTGAACATTCCTCTGTTCGTGTGTACTGAATATTGTTGTGCAATGCTTTGTGTGAAGTTATTGTGAAAATTTTCCTGTCTTTATTTTTACCAAAGATTTCCCTTAGTTTGAAGCATTTGAAGCAATAAATTATAAAAATGAATCAGAGCTCTGATGTTTAAGATGCTTGTATCCTTCTCTCAAAAAAACAACTGAAACACTGAAGGCAGTTCAGATATATATCCAGTGCCTTGTTTGTAGAAAACATTGTGCATGGGAGTTCTTCCATAAGGGGGTATAAAGGTTGTGCCATTCTCCCAGAATGAATGTGAAAAATATGACTTTTAGTGGCATGGGAAGAGCCAAACAGGTGCTCAGAGAGCTGTATTCAGGATGTGGGATGGGAGCTACATTTTGAGAAACAGGCAGGGGTGAAATGGGGAAACAAAGAGGAGGGGAGTTACTTCATGCTGCTCACGACTTGACTGTGTCATCAAGTCTTGGGGACTAGGAGGGGCACTAGGTGTACAGACGTTGCTTTGTTTTCAGTAGCAGGGCATGGACAAGTGACTTAATTTTCCTGGGTTTTACCATTTATTATGCAGTGATAAGGAAACACTTCCCCTTTCTAACCTCCAGAAATACTGACAGAAACTAATTAAGCAGAAATTGTTTGAAATCCATGAAAGAAAAATACTATGTAAATGTATATTAAAATGGTATTGATTATATCATTGTTAGAGCATATCTGCCAAGTTCTTGATACAAAACATAAGTTCTGAAAGAGAAATGATTAAAAATTAGTAAGGCAAATTTTATCTCTGAGATTCTGTTAGCTACAGCTCTTTGATCCTTTTCTCAAACCAAGATATTGTACTTCGGAATTATCTTTCACAGCGACATAGAAAAGACATTCAGAGAAGAGAAGCAGCATGAGGTCACCAAGCCCCAGGAACCTCACAGCAATTACTCAAAGTGTCCATCTTCTGTAATTACACCAGAACTGTTATGACTTCTCAATCTTATCTTTTCATAAGTTATCAACTGTAAGGACTTAATCGAAGTTTTTTCTTTTTTTGAAAACAGCTAATGATCTTGAAGCTTCACCTCCCTTAAAGACTGACTCCAATCACAGGTCAAGGTATGCATCATGGCTGGTGGCAGTGGTATTAATAGTTTTCAGGGGCTCACTTGTGCTAGACGTGCCAGCCTTATGGTAACTACAGTAAACTGAAATTTTAACTTCTGTGTTAGATTCACTTAGGACATGTAAGCATAGCATATCACAAAATATGACATGTCAAATTCCTACCTTTAGGATTTCTCACACCTGTGTTCTAATGGCCGTTAACGTGGTCTTCACTTTGGAGACTGAAGAGTGTGCTATTAAAAGTGCTATTAAAGTCCTCATACATGGCTTTATTACATTTCTGTTTTAATATTCTTAAAGGCTCAAGGAAATGGACTGAGTGTGGAGAAGAAAATATCGTTTGGGAATCTGGATCTTCAAATAACTGAAGGAATGTTCTATGGATGCTATTAAGAAAATAAGAGCAAAGCAAGTGGGTTTGTATTGTAGAATGATTTAAGTTAGGTTTTTATGAAATCTTGTAGTGGGCTAGAGAAATGGAAAAGTTGTTTCTGGGGGAGAACAGAGTCTTCAGAAGAGATCTGAAAAGGAAAGGACTGGTTTTCAGGGATGGTTTAAGTTTCTACTCTAAGAGATTTAAAGGAGACGTATATGGCCTGAAGTTTGTTAAAATTTCTTTCCTTTAGATAAAGACAAAATTAAGTTCAAGTAATACAGACAAACCAGAACATGAAACAAAAGCAGGTAGTCGTGTGCCATTTAATACTTCATTAGTGACCAGCGCCTACATATTAACTGTGTTTTACCAGCGCCAAGATGAGTTCTTGTAAATCACTTTAGAAAGGATGGGTGTGATTTATAAAATAAAGCCAGAACATTTACAAAGAAGGTGTCATTTGGGTATCTTAAATAATACTTTCAATATTTATTTTACAGATGTGTATTTCCTTTAAAATCTTTTGGTATGGATTCTATTTTTTCTGTTGGCTTTTGGCTTTGTAGATGTAGCGGATAAGGAAAACCTCTTGCTGATTTAACAATTTCTAGGTCTTATACTGGTAGATGATTTGAGATTTTATCTTTGAAATACACTGAGGGTTTTAAAATGTAGACAAGGACTTGAAGTTCAAAGAGACATCTTGTTTCAATACAGTAGTTTTACTCACTAAGATGTTTAAGGGAAGATATAGAGAGGCAAAATAGTAAGCAGTTTCTTAAACCCACTTATTTTCAAATTTAGATTTCATGTTTTCCCTTTCAATTTGGAATTTTCTATTTTAAAGTTTTAGATGACTGAATAAAATTATTAAAAATTCACAAAACTAAAGATTAAAGATAGTAACTAAAGATTGAAAGAAATTTAAGGAATTACACTTTGTCATCTTTTTGGTAAGTCTGTAGCACTTACACTATTACAGCTAAGACTGCACCAAGTATTTCAGGACACTATTTAAGAATGAAAAAAACACTGGCTTTATAGAGTAGTTTTCAATACCTGACACAATATGGGCCACTCTCTAGACTAAGAAGCTGGATCTCTGAGGACTCTTCCTGCAATTTGATCTTGTTAGCTAGGTTTCAAGTTGTATTACACAAATTCAAGAATGAAGGTATCATGCCATCATGATACCATTAAAATACCCAGGTTACCATGCCACCATTAAAATACCCAGGTTAATCTAACGTGTGAGGCAGAAAACATAGCTCTTATAAAAATACATACATTCTAAGCTGTTAGAATCGATGATCTTTGTTGAAATGCATTGTGGTCTAAATTCTTTGATGAATAAGTAAAGTGTGAAGTTCATCTGCCAATGCAGGATTCAGACGACAAGCCTTCAAATTCAAAGAAAGTTATTTAGACATATTTTGGACTGTTGAACCTTTTGTTTTTAAGAAGTAGAGTACAGTGATTTAAGGGAATTTTGTAATTAAGATACATTTCTACTCTAATTGCTTAATTAGGAGAATTCAAGTTAACCTATGCAAAATAGATCATATACTAAAAATAACCATGCTATTATCATTTGTGAGAGAGAGAATTTTCAGTGCCCAAAATAATGAATTATTTCTAAGATGTGAATTATTTAAGTAAGTAAAATAGAAAGCATTACTATTTGACCTCAAACTTTCTATCTCATGTGAATAGCAGCACGGATAATTTTTAAATATATGGTTTTATTATGCCTAAATCAGTGATAAGGTGCATAATTTCATAGTATGTCCAGAATGTGAAAGACAGAAGGCACCTCACCCAAACCTCACTCCCTGCAGAAACTGTCTCCTTAGTTCCCACAACAGTGGGTCACTGGGCACTTGCCTGCTGCCCTCCCCTTCCCGTAACACTGCCTGGGCTGTAAGCCTCTGCCCACTGTGCCTCTCTTCTAGGACAGCCTCGCAGTCTGCTGAAGACCACCACTGAAGCCCCTCAAGTCCTTTTTCTCAGAGTAAAATACTTAGAATTTCCCTTATTGTGCCTCATCTGACATGATTCCGGACCCTTCACTGGTATACTTTTAAAATGCAGAAAAGTTAGAGGAAGTATCTCCCATAAAATCCAGTGACCAAAACTTAGTAATGGGTTTGTATTATCTCCCAACCTAAGGAAAACAGTTTTACAGTCGTACCTGTTTATTATGCTGTTTTGTTTAGGATGAACATGTACCACATTTCTGGATATTTTTCACCCAGAGTTCTCTTTGCTTATGTCTTCTTGTAAAGGACACCTAGTACAGAATCTAAAACTGACTTGGTTTGGAAACTGGTATAATAAAAGAATATTTAGATTTTAAAAAAGACAGCTGTTACTCATACTAATAGAATGGTGTAATGGTAGATATCTCAAAGGTTAGTTCTATTTTTGTACCATATTCTGATATTTGTGTTGATATGGGTTTAATACTGTGGACATTTTAATTTCCAACAAAATAATTTAGGGTTCCAAACTTATTGACACAATGCAACCTCCTAGGGAACTTAAATCTGCCCGTGTCCATTCTATGACATTAAATTGTTCTGAAATAAGGCCTAGGTTTTGGAATTCTTAAGAGATCCCCATGTGATTTGAACATGCAAATAATTTTGAGAACAACTGCTGTAACATAATCAGATTTTTAGGCAAGGGACTTAGAAAATTCTTCTTTGCTCTGTTCCCCTGCTCCAGCCGAACAATTTGTATATTATGCAAATTTTAATAATCTAATTCTAATTTGGAGTTATGGATGTCATGGACCTGAGGTGTGCAATTTTTTGCTTTCTTTTTATTAAAAAAATGAACTTGCAGTTACTATTCATAATGACTGCCTTTCTCACTTCCTCTGCAGTCTTTAACAGTTGCGTTTAGATGTGAAATCTATTTGGTATAAATAAACTGATCACATGGATTAAAACATGAAAAGGCTTATTTTAACTGGTTGTAGTAGATGTCATGCATAAAGAAACCTTAATGAAATGTACTCTCATGTATACAGAAGGAAAATAGAGATTCACCCTTTTTCTGGATGAACTAAGGCATGCTTGTTCAGGCTTTAAGGTCTCAGTGCTGAGCCTTAGGCTGCAGACAGTGAAACAGAATAATTTGCATCAAAAATAGAAACTTTACCATCTGAGCTTAATTATGTTAAAAAGAAAGAAAATTGTCTGCAAACAAGCTGCATGTCTAATAAATTCTGGGTAGACAGAGGTTATCTGCATAGTAAGTAAGAAACAGTAATTTATAAAATGTTCAAGTCTCAACTAAAAACCCAGAAATTCTAATTGAGTCCATTTATGTTAGCAATAGGGCTTACTTTAGAATAATAGCGTTTAGCTGTCGCCTCATCCTTTGTGATCCCCAAGCCAAGCTGCAGACACCGTGCGTGGTAGAAAGAGGCCATGGCCATGCCTCTGCTGATGAATTCCGGGAGACAGTCTGTGACCTGGGCTATCATGCGGATGTCGTGAACCTCATCATAGTCGGCGATCCTGGAACACCCAGTTGTCAAATTTAAACACACTATCACTTATGGTTTACATTTTTATAAACACATCCAGAAATTGTCCTTGTGCCCCAAGTGGTTTCCCTGGCATTTCTACAAGTTTTAGAACTAAACTGTTTGCTGTATGGGGAAGAGTAAATACAGTCGACTAACACAAGTGGAAGAGGAACTAACCACAGTGGTTACTTCACAGCCCCTTAGGATTACACTTGTCGGGCTTAACAACCGCTAGAAAACATTAAGTTTAAAACATTACTACAAAATTCTTACCACTTTGCAGGTTTAAACAACGGAGAGAAAAGCAGTCTTCTATCTCTTTGGGTATTTAAACATCAACCTTGAATTTGGACTTCAGTCACAGAGGACCAGAAAACACATTGAGAAACTTGCACATCTATGTTTAGTGGGCAATAAAAAGTCATTCTTTGTAACCCAGATACAGAGATGGACAATTATATGGAAGAGTCCATTCCATGTCAGCTGTGATACTGTAGGAAACAGGAACATGGACAATAATGAAAAGTTCCAAAGATTTTTAAAGGACTACTTGAAGTCTTAGTTTTACCCAGATGGGCACTTGGGAGATTTGAGGCACTGGAGACCACACCTCTGCCCATGATGCTGGGGAGGTGAGGGCAAAAGGCATTCCTTCATCCAGTGTAGATGTCCACCTCACACTGGGTGCCTGTGGGCTCTGTGGAAGGGCGTATAGGGAGGGAGATGTCAGCATGGCCTTACAGCCATTCTAGAGGACACCATGGTCTCTTTCTCGTATTGCGTTTGTGCATTGTGGATAAAGGCAGGAAAGTACACAGCCTCAACAAATTTACATATCCTTTACGTAGTGTTGAGTCTTTTAACCATTCTTATTTTGCTGTCCTCATCAAGCTACAGTGTAACTGTGCAGTTATAGAACCCATGGCTGAGGGTGTAGGAAGAAAAAAAATTTCTCAAAAAAAAAAAAAAATTCTCATGTGCCAAGCTATGTTGAATGCTTTGTATTCACTATTGTTTTTAATCAAGAAGAAAATACTTCTGCAAGACTGCGAAAGAACAATCCGTGCCCTCAGAAGTAAAATTTGCTTAAGATCACTTAGCCGGCATATAGAGCAAAGAGCACTGAAATCATGCAGATTGATGGCACAGATGTTTCATCAATCACTATCTGATATGGTAGCCACTGGCTGTGTGTGTCTGTTTAAATTAAAATCCAATGAAAGTCACAAGTTCAGTCCTCAGTTGCATTGGCCACTTTGCAAGTGCCAACAGCCATCATTTCCAATACTGCAGTGAGTTCTATTAAACAGACCAGGCACAGAACATCTAGTAAGTTTTGGTAAATACTTTTATCCAGCTTACTCACCTTTTGGAAAATGCAACACACTTTGTAAAGAACTTCATCTTATAGTAATACTCCACGAGATTCCCTTGAGCATAGACGTTGCCACGCTCCGCGGCTTCCCTCAGGCACTGCAGGGCAGCCTCAGTGTCCTGGCGGATACCTTGTCCGTAGAAGTACATGAGCCCCAAGGCACCCTGGGACTCCAGGTTTCCATTGCCACAAGCTTCTGAATGCCAATAAAATGCCTAAGAAAAAGCACAATTCCATAGTATTCACAAGGTGGAATTTAATTCATCTCTAGGACACAGCTCCAGCCTCTTGAACACAGGTCATGCTGGCACCAGTTTCACGGGCCTCAGAGACGGTGCAGAGAGAGGCCCCCCTGTTGTCTCCCCACAGTGCAGGCCAGGTCACTGGCTTGAGCTCAGCTGTTCAGGTTTTGGGATTTTCAAGTTTTCCAGAGGAAGCACGGAGAAGGTGGGAAATAGGAACCTGAAAGGCTTTGCAAAGCGGCACAAAATGTCTGAAAGGCTTTGCAAAGCGGCACAGCAAGGAGACCTGCTGGTGATGTTAGATGGCAGCCATCTTTCAGACCCACTTGGAGCTCTGACAGGATCAAAGACAACCAAGGATACAAACCTGCATGTGGTCCAAGCACATCTGCCCTGTGAATCTGAGTTCACAGTGATTTCCAGGCAGCTGTTCAGCTATCTGCCAAGGATCGATTTCTTGGAAACATCTCCCATCACTGATGATTAAAAGAGACTGTACTAACTCACCCTCCTCTTTTACCTTTTATGGTAGAGTATTTTGTAGGTGTGTTTTCCACAGCACACAAAGTACTCACATCTGTGGTCTCCTTTGGCAGAAGAAGGCAGCATTCATAGTTGAGGCGAGATGAGCTTGGAGATCCTAATATGTAAGCTTTCTCTACATTTTAAAGAATTATGAGCTACTCAGGACTACATATTCCTCACCATCCTCCATTCACAGAAGGAATAGTGAACTAAATATTAATCTACACATGATGCTACAGTTTATCAAATGGACCGCTGTTACCTTCTCAAGCTCTTTGGGCTCCTTTGTTGAGTAATACAGCCCTAGGATACTCTGAGCCTTCACACTAGCTTTTGGGTTTCCATTGTCTGCAGCAAAAAGCCACAGTCTAGAAGAGAAGAAGAGGTGAGTTATTCTTTGTTTAAAACATTTGATTAAAACAAAATCTTGTTCTTAGGTCAGATTACCTTTCAGCTTCCTTGTCTGATCGTTTAACGCCTTTTCCCTCGTAATAAGCTCTTCCAAGGTTGTAAGCTGCTGCAAATTTTAAGTGTCTTGCTTTAGGGCATGGAGAATCAACAATTTTCTTCATATATTCCACTCCTTTTTCCTTCCACAAAGGAAAAGAACAAGACAGAAAGTCCCAGTTTAGTTTTACCCAAATCCCAGTTTAGTTTTACCCAAACTAAGTTTTCTGATAATGCCATGAAGCATTCATGCTCTGACATGATGTAGAGTCTCGAGTCTGTACCTAACAGTATGGTGGTCCTGGAGTCTGCAGGGCTAGAAATAAATAAAAGTCCATCTCCCAAGTCAGTGTTCCTAGGAGCTCTGGGAGGTAACGCATGCCTCCCATATTACAGCTTCCACAATTGCATCATGCCTCAATATGAGTTCCTTTGTCTCTTCTCATGTTCCTTATTTTGAGTCAGCACAGTTCTTAGAACTTGTCGAAGTGTAAGAATAACCAGACACTTTCACATTTTTAACCCTTACAGGATGCATGTAAGCCCTAAACCCTGTCTTCTTTCTTTAAGCACACTTTCCTTAGCTGTGCTCAGTGATAAATTTATATCTACTACACTCATCTTCATATGATGTCTGCGTAGTCACAAAACACAGGAGACATCCTGCCTGCTAATAAAAGGCTTGCCCTGCCTCTGAAAACCCAGACACGAACTGTTTACCAAACCAGGCCCCTCCTGCCCAGTGCCCAGCAAGCCAAAACACTGAGACACTGAGGTTTGCAGCAAGGAGCCAAGCAGATGGGAGAACAAATCTCAAATTCCAGCCCCTGCAAGGCAAGGGGTTTGGGGTATTTATGGGATGAAGAAAGCAGCCACTGGAGGCATGGGGAGCATGGGGAAAAGTGACTGGGAAAAGGTGTGGGAGTCTTTGTTCTGTGCAAGTGTACCTAAGCTATAAGGCTCTGCATGTTCAACAAGTCACCAAGCAATGGACACTTGTGCATGCCCAGATGGGCCGATGGTTCCATCCCCTCTGAACTGGCTCAGCTCGAAGTAGACATACCCAACTCCAGGTTCCTAAAAAGCATCTTGTTTAGGCTACATGCTGCCTGGGGGACACACCAGTCTTAAAAGCATCTGGATTAGTGAAAGCAATCGAAATGGATTTGAACATGGTTTCAGTCCCCACCTTACCTTTTGATTATTTCTCACTCTGGAGGAAAAAGAGCGAGGATAGCGCTGGCTAATTCCTGCTGATAAGGCCTAATATGGGCTTGAATCAATCTCTTAAACACTTATTTGAAAATACGTTCCTGGTTTCAAGTGAACATCTTTTTTAATGTGGATGATTTTTAAAGTCTTTATTGAATTTGTTATGACACCGCTTCTGTTTTATGCTTTGGTTTTTTGGCTGGGAGGCATGTTGGGTCTTAGCTCCCCAACCAGGAATCAGACCCACAACCCCAACACTGGAAGGCGAAATCTCAACTGGATCACCAGGCAAGTCCCTCAAGTTAACATTGTGATCCCAAACAAATATCACTTATGCACCAGCTGTCAGGTTATTCACAGGCCCAACACTGGTAATAAAAATTGCAGATAAATATGTACCAGGTTGGGAGCAAGGACAACTATGTATCCTCTAAGGGCACACAGAATACCAGACATGTTAAGACTCTCATCCTTGGGGATTTTACCTGGGACACGGTCTTACCTGGGATCTCTGTCTTATACTTTTTACCTACTGGAGTGTCTTGATCATTATCAATTGACAACATTTAGATAATATGGAAGGGACATGGGCTGGGAAAGCTAAGTGTGGTTTCTGAAATACCCTCACCAAACAGAACCTTGGCAAGGGGAGATGCCAAAGGTTTGGTGTTTTTTTTTTATTCTGAGGACAGGAGAAGACCAAATTTTCAGTTAGTCAAGAAAATACAAAGGACAGGAAATTTACTGATTAGCCTAATTCAATAGTCACGCCTGAAGTCACAGTGAAGTTAGGGATGGTTAACAATTAATGACAGGCAGAACTAAGGGGTCAACATGATCAAATACAGAAGGTTTTGGATGACAGCCAAAAGGTAGAGAAATTATCTACTTTGCCAAAGACTGAAAAATTCTGATCACTGAACTGTCCTTCCAAGCCTGGGAGGTTATAAACAAAGACAAAGCGGAACAAAAAATCTGATAACTAATGAGTTTATATTTAAATTGCTCTCTGAATTTTACTTTCTCAAACCCACACCACAGCAACCCCATTCACCTTTCTCATGGCTGCTTCCTCAGTAGGAACTGCAGATCTGTTGGGGGTCCCCTGGCCCACTGAGAAGCTGGGGTTGATGCTCCTCTTGCAGTGTGGTTTCCCTCTCCTGGCCGGTTCCTCATAAGGTCCGTTTGTTGAAGATGGAGCTGGGCTTCAGAATGTTCATTATCTCCTCCTTTAAGAACTTCTGAAAGGGGTTTTGCTGTGAGTCCAAAGCTGAGGACCCAAACATGGCAGAAGCTGGCCATTCCCAGAGATTCCTGCAGCAGTCTCTTGGTGGGGGCTGCTGCCCTGCCTAGAGCTCCCCTTCTGTCAGAGGTCAAGTCTCTGTCCTTGTGAGAGTTCAAAACCCAAATATTTACCAGAGGGCTGAGAACTCTGCTTTTTTTTGGATACCTGATAGCCTCGTTCAACCAAAAAGGCTGAAATCAAAATCATGTTCTGGCAGCCTCCCTGGCGGTACAGTGGATGGGAACCTGCCTGCCAATGTAGAGCACACAGGTTGGATCCCTGGTCTCGGCGCAGTTAAGCCCATGTGCCAACAACTACTGAGCCCGTGTTCTAGAGCTTGGGAGCTGCAGCTACTGAAGCGCGCACGCCTAGAGCCTGTGCCCAGCAACGAGAGAAGCCACAGCAATGAGAAGCCCAAGCACAACAATGAAGAGGAGCCCCTGCTCACCACACCTAGCGAAAAGCCTGCACAGCAACGAAGACCCAGCATAGCCAAAAAAATAAAGAAAGAAAAATCATATTCTGGTCTCAAGTGTCCTTTGTCTTACTGGTTATCTGAATACCAGTCTACCTCCCTCATTTAGTTGAGGGTCCCTTAATCTTTTGCCAGGATTGCTCCAAAAATGATGGGTGAAGTTTTAAATCCTCAAGGAAGTACTGTCTGGCAGTACTGTTGTTTAACTCTTAGTATCAGATCCTTCCACTTGAAAGCAAACAACTCTTGGGATTTAAAACAAGGACATGCAAGAAAAGGCATTTGTAACCTCTCATACGGTAGACCCACATTTTGTGGACAGATCAGTGACACAGTGCAGGGCTCAGGGACTGCCCCACGAGCCTCTTTTACAATTTGATTGCTCTTAAATCCTATACAAGCTGACTTCAGGTGATGCCCTAACTTACATAGGCCTAGCTCTCTGCTCTTGCTGATCTCTCGTCCACCCAGGCCTCTGGACTCCTCTTTGCAATCTCTCCTGGAATAGCTGCAGGCTGTTCTCTTTGGGGTACAGCCTGAAATTTGCAAGCCTGCTCCAGTGGTACTTTAATGCTCATCTGCCCAGGTGCAAAGGTAACCCTGGTATTTAGTAAATTTCTCAGAAGGGAAATGGGACATTCAGGCATATATACGAAGTTATGCTTTTTCCCCATCTGACAGTCTAGCTCCTGGAAAAAAAGACATTTTCAAGGTTTCTTTGGACACCTCAGCTCAATCCCCAGTAGCCAATTCCTAACATTTAGACAGTTAGACACAGACATACATGGACAAGCAAGACTAAAACAAAACCATGGCCCTGGGCCTGTGACCCATAATACAGAGGCCTGTAACCTTCTGTACTGTCTGCCAAAGTCCCTCCAAGTGGGCCTCTGGTCCATGATCCATTCAGGGTTGCAAAGACAATCTAGGCATAGTTGTGTTTCTTTAATGAAGTTACTCACCCAAAAGAAATCTTCCAAACCCCAAAGCCCAAAACCTCCAAAATATGTTACGAAAAATCAGGTCCGACTGCTCACCGCACAGAAGCCAATACTTGAGAGGCAAGTCAGGTGGAAAGGAAAATTTTTTTTATTCCAGAGGCCAGCAGTGGGAGAGAACGGTGGACTCAAGTCTGAAAGCCAACTCCTCACTGACAATCAGTGGGCAAGAACTTTTATAGTTGGAGAGGGGGTTGCATGTAGAACAGCACCGTCAGTTCTGACAGTCATCTTGAAACTGGTCGTGAAGTGGTCTGATCAGCGTCAGCGTCTTGATTGTTTTAAGTACAGTTAATCTTCAATTCCAGGGTTTGTTTGTTCCCATTTCTTTGGGGCCAGTTCTCATGGCTAGTCTGGTCATCATGTATTTAACTTCTTCTACCTGGTAGGGGTTTCAGTGGCTACGAAACAGCTCAAAGGATGTGGTTTAGAATATTATCTATAGCCCCTGAGGAGAACTAAAGGTCCTTGGCTTCATTTAATGACGGAAGTAGTGTAATTTGGTCTTGTTTTCCTTTGCTTCAACACTTTCATTTCTCTGAATTCATTCTTTGAAGTTTTTCTCCACACAAAAGGCAGGCAGAGGATGTGGGGGTGGGGTTGGGGCGGGAACGGGAGTGGGGAGCGAGCAGCGAGGGCCATAGGGTCTGCTTGTCCCCAGGTCCTTTTAGCACCTGCGAGGGGCCAACGAGCCACAGGTGAAAGGTTCATCTTTACTCACCTCTTGGCTGGCTCACCTCATTTGTTACCAAACTAGATTTGTCTTGCCAGACACATTGCAAGCCAAATGCTGAGACACCGAGGTCTGCAGCAAAAAGAGGGTTTATTTGCAAGGCAGTCAAACCAGAAGACAGGAAGAACAAATATCAAAACAGCTTCCCAAGGCAAGTGGTTCCAGGTATTCACAGGATAATGACTAACGCAGCATGGCAGTTGGAGGCGTGGGGAGCGTGGAGGGCATGGGGAAAGGTGCAGTGACTGGTGGGTAATTTTCGCTCTGTGCAGGTGTAACTAAGCTACAGGCTTCTGCACATTCAAAAGATCACCAAGCAATGGACACCTGTGGATGCCCAGATGGAGGGTGGGTGGCCCTATCCAGTCTCAACCAGCTGCTCAAACTAGATGCCGCTGACTCCCAGTTTCTAGACAACCACTTGGGCAATGGTTTATGGTTTATGCTCATGTTGCCTGGAGGCCATGTTAGCCTTTTTTTTTTTTTTAAGTTTAAAAGAATTTTTTATTAACCAGGATTCTTCATTCCTTCCAACATGTCAGATAACAAATCTTTTTAAGATAACTAAGTCTTTGGTTGACACACTAATATATAATTGATAATTTAAGTTAAAACAACCTTGACAAATGAAGGCAGGTGAAATGGACTTAATCCTCAGTTTCAAAATCCAAAGAAAAAAATATTTAACAGTCATGTACAGTTGTATATACACTTCATGCTAACCTTTACCCCTCACTGCTCTCTCAAAATGCTGTTGTTGGCTAAACACCACAGTAAAAGATGAGAAAATAAAGGTGTTTTACTGAGTCCCAGATCACATGGATCTATTTCTGTGAGTATGTGAGGTAGGTGTCTACCAAGCCCCCTGCACCCCCAGCTTGTTAGTAAGAGAGAACTTATGGTACAACCACAGTAGAGTGAAGTGTTTGTGTAAATCCTCCCACAGATGGCAGTGATTAAACTGGGACCAAACATATAGAACCACTTTTTAAAGGCACTAGGAAATTTACCAAAGCAAACATAAACTGGAAAAGGAATAACTCTTGAAAACTGCAACCGAAAGGGATCCTTGAAATTCAGTAAACCCCAGATAGGATACACAAAAACCCTCTCCTAGGCACACATCATAGTCAAACTGCTGAAAGCTACAGACACCTTGCAAGCAGTCAGAGAAAAGGGCCACATTACATACAGGGAACATAATACAGAACTTCCCTGGTGGTTCAGATGGTAAGGTATCTGCCTGCAATGCAGGAGACAGGGGTTCGATCCCTGGGTTGGGAAGATCCCCTAGAGAAGGGAATGGCAACCCACTCCAGTATTCTTGCCTGGAGAACTCCATGGACAGAGGAACCTGATGGGCTATAGTCCATGGAGTCACAAAGAGTCGGGCACGACTGAATGACTAACACACAATACAGAGACTGACTTCTCATGAGAAGCCAGGAGATTTTAGAATGGCATTTTTAAAGTGGAGTAAGAAAGAGCTCAACCCCAAAACAACTCATTAGAAATGAAGGTAGATTGAAGACATTTTCAGGTAATCACAATTGGAGATAACTCATCACCTGCACATTATACAAGAAATGCTCTTTAAAGGAAGTTTTTCAGGTTGAACAGAAATGGAATACAGTGCCAAACAGCAACCCACCTTGATAGGAAGGACTGAAGAGCCTCAGAAATGGTAAATATGTACAAATATAAAAGATACACAGGCACATACATACTTGTGTGTATTTTTTCCTCTCAATTTCTTTCCAAAGATATATGATTAAAGTAAACATAACTATTTTGCATTCGGGGATTTATAATGTAAATTTCAAGACATTTCAGGTCTACCACACAAAGCACATTTGGTTCAACCAGACTCTGGGCCAAATTAGTCTCAAGAACAACTCAGTAAATTTATAAAGTGATAAAAATTAAAAGAATTTTCCCTTTGCCCCCTTACCTTGGGTTAACTGAAGAGACCTACAGAAGCCATCTTCCTTTTTGCTCCTCTGGTCTCCATATGTAATTACATTGAAGTCATTCTACTTTGTGGAGTTTCCATATAACAACCCATTGAATCTACCAATTTCCCTAATCTTTCCACACCTTCATGTTCTTCCCACATTATCAGCTAATTCTATATCTGTCACTGTACTCATTCCTTTGTCCCTCTTTCCCTCCATGACACTCACTCATGAGGCAAATACCCTATTTCTCCCTAGTCTGCTGTACTTAAACCATTGAACATGGCTGGAAAAAAATTAACCATGCTAACAGGTCTTTCTTAAAATTTATGACTATAAATTTCAGAGCAAGCTCTCAGCCCTCACAAGCACTATCAGTTTGTTTCAACAATAGTCTCTCCCACTTATCTCGAAGAGAGGATACTATTTCAAACCTTCTTTCTCTTCAAACTTCTGCTCTCCCTGCTCCCACTCCTCAGTCTCAACTCATGGCTTCGATTTTTAAAATATTTTTTATAAAAGGTATGGAACAGTTCATGAGCTTGTGTGTCATCTTTGCACAGGCTATGCATACATGCTGCTAAAGCAAACACATGGCTTCACTTTTATTTCACTGAGAAAACAGAAAGAATGAAAAGTAACATCAAATCTATGAATTTACCTGATTCATCATTTAGGGAGAGACAGGCAGTTGGCTATGTGGATCTCAGAATTAGTTTCTTCTGATTGGAAAGTTTTCAAAAAGTATCTATAGATGGTGTCAGCCATGGGGCTGAGTGTGAGCCTACTCAAGGAGAGAGTGAAAGGAGGCAGGAAGGGCTGAGGCCTAGGTTCTGACACATTTCAGCATTAGATGGGAGAGAAGCAGCTAGCACAAGGGACTGAGGAGTGGCTGTGAAGAGGCAAACAGAAAAAAACTGTATTTCAAATATACAAACAATGGTAGAATGATGTGTGCAAAGTATGAGGGAGAATCAGATGAACTAAAGATATCTCAGATGCTAAGGTGGGAGGGTGTTGCAACGAGGGTGGGGTCAGCTGTATTAAACTTGGAGTAAATGCAGGCAATATAGTAATGGATAATGCAGGTTACTAAACTTTCAAAAATTAAACTATACATAGGTTAAAATGAGTATCTTACAATTAATGCGAACATTTATTTTTACCATTTATTTCACCATATGGTGCAATGATTATAAATATGGAAAGATGAAGAATTTCAGGAATTAGAGTATGGTCCGCATTATTAGCTTTACACAAGATAAAGTCAGGGAGGAAAATGCTTCTTGGACACTTACTCCATGTGCCCTGTGTTAGTTATTTTTATGTGTTGTCATCCAATCTCATTAACAACTATGTGAGTAGGTTAATGAGTTTTATTTTTTATGCTGCCTCCAATGGACTAACCTGGTAATGTATCCTTAAAGCTTTGTACTGATAAAAGTTCTGAGACTATGTCTGGACTCAGCTACAACAAAGAGGTTTATGATCAGTCATCAAGGTTGGCCATGACCAAAGGAGAGGGGGAAATGACAGATGTATCTCTGAGGTTATTTACCTTCATTTTACAAATAAGGACACTAAAGCTAGAAATAATTTTCCCAAGATTATACTGCTAATAGGCAGCGAAACCAAGATTTGAAACCAGTGGTAAAGCCAAAATTTGAAAGCCTGTGTACTTTCACATTTTAGAATTTGTCATAGACCTGAATAGATAGGACACCTTTGCAAGTGAATACAGGGAAATTAAATTCTAAATATTTTTGAAAATTTTAAAAATAAATTTCATAGTAAATTTCTCTGTAAGATGAGGCGTAAAAAGGGGAAAGAATTAAAAAAGGAAAACCACAAAGCATAGAGAAAATTGTATTACTGATCTCCAAATCTCATAATTTAATTTATTCCTTCATCTTCAAGCATGCCAAAAATATGAGGCCTAAAAATACTATTGATATACAACAGATTATTATACAAGTATTTAAATGAAAATGTAGACTATATCTATTGACAATGAAGGACATTCAAAACACAGGTGGAAAAAAAAAGATTATAAAACAGTATGTATACTTGGTCATATATTTTAAAAATGTAGGTGTGTATACACACACATAATTTTCTTCTGCATAGGGCAATACATGAAAGAATGTACTCTAAAATAATAACTATTAATAACTTCATATTTGATAGGAAAATTTGGAGTGATCTTAATTTTGCTTATTTTCTAACGTCTCTCCATGTTCATGTAGCTTTAAAGTAACTTTTAAGAACAAAGGAAAACATTTTAAAACATAAATGTTATCGAAGGCTAATGGTAGCAAGGAGGGGGCAAAAAGAAATTTTGTTTTCATGTAAATGCTGAAAGAACAGATAATTATTTAAATATGAGTACAGATATATATTATTAAAATATAAACAATTTTAAATATATCATATAATCCAGAAACCACGAAATCTTAAACACTGAACAAAACAATAACTTACAGAGTCTGCGACCGTCCCCAGGCCATCATAATACATCACTCCTAGCTGGTAAGTTGCCTGATGATCCTTTTCCTTGATTTCTTCAAACTGTTCTAACGCTTCTTCATACCATCCCTGTAAGCTCCCAGGAAATACTGAATTATTTTCTTTATTATCTTAAAGTAATCACAGATACTTACTTAGTTCCCACCTAAATCTAGCTAGCAGCACCAAATAAAACAAAAAAAGACAGAAACAAATTTATGGAATTTACAAGTGAGCCACTGACAACAATCAACACACTATAAAAATCAGTAAAATAAACATGGCAACTGAGGGAAGTAACGAGGAGGAACCTAAGAGGGACTTTCTTTGACTTTCACTCTTATTCTTGGCTATGGCTGAACTACCCTCTAATGATAATCTAGCTTGGTGCTCATCCCAGCCTGCCATATCACCCATCATTCCCAGAATCTGAGAAACTTCAGAGTTGGGGCCAAAGTCTCTGAGAAAAGATAAGCATCAGGACATCCATTATTATTAAATATCCACTCTAATATGGCTCTTCCAGTTTTGCCATTTTCTAGCTAAAGAAGACACAGAAAAGCAAATATGTGATTCTCAAAAATTATCTTCCTCCCATATGTCCTATAGAAACCTCCATGTCACGAGTCATTCATTTAAGGCTCCTTAGCATCATAGGATATAATAAGAAATATGCTACAGTGTAAGGAACAAACATGGAGCTTGTATATTAATCCCCCATGGAAAATGCCTTAAAGAATAAATCATTTGTAATACTGGAAAAAGAGTCGCTGAGTTGAAAGGTCAGTACAAGGATGAGAAGGCCTGACAAAAACAACTTTTGGAAAACACAGAAACTACTGAATTTCTCTTTTCCTAAACTGTAATTAATCAACAAATTGATGAAATTAATAAAAATTTCACAAAAATACTAACAATAAGTAAGTGACTTGTAAAGATTCATTTTCTTTTTTGGCTAATGTTTGGCCAAGATATGAAGGCTGGAAAACTCAGAATACTCCATACAGAGAAAGAGAAGAGAGGACCTTACAGTTTTCGTGATTTTAAATGTCATATACATGCTGGAAAAATCTCAGATATACATTTACTTTCAACTCTGACCTTTCTTTTGAGATCTAGAGTATTATATGTAGTTTCTACTTTGAAACCTTATACTTGGATGACAAAGGGGAATCTTAAACATAAAATGACCAAAAACTGAACTCTTGATGGTTTCCTCAAAACTCACCCACTTCTCCATTTTTCAGTCCATGCCACCATTACTTGTGTCTCCAAAATAAATCCAGGACCCAGTTCCACTGCTACCACTCTGGTCAAGACCACCAACCTCTCTTGCCCCAACTAGTATAATTTCTCTCTAAACTGGTCTTGGTTTTATGCTTCCCTTCCAGTCCATTCATCAGTCTCAAAACACTTCCAACAGCTTCTCACTACTTTTGAAACAAGGTTCGTCAAGAGCTCTTCAGTTCAGTTGCTCAGTCGTGTCTGACTCTTTGTGACTCCATGGACTGCAGAATGCCAGGCCTCCCTGTCTTATCACCTACTCCCAGAGCCTGCTCAAATTCATGTCCATTGAATCGGTGATGTCATTCAACCATCTCATCCTCTGCCGTCCCCTTTCCTCCCGCCTTCAATCTTTCCCAGCATCAGGGTCTTTTCCAATGAGTTAGTTCTTTGTATCAGGTGGCCAAAGTATTTGAGTTTCAGCTTCAGCATCAGTCCTTCCAATGAATATTCAGGACTGATTTCCTTTAGGATGGACTGGTTAGATATCCTTGCAGTCCAAGGGACTCTCAAGAGTCTTCTCCAACACCACAGTTCAAAAGCATCAGTTCTTCAGTGCTCAGCTTTCTTCACAGTCCAACTCTCACACCCATACATGACTACTGGAAAAACCACAGGTTTGACAAGATGGACCTTTGTTGGCAAAGTAATGTCTCTGTTTTTTAATATGCTCTCTAGGTTGGTCATAAGTTTTCTTCCAAGGAGCAAGCGTCTTTTAATTTTATGGCTGCAGTCACCAGCTGCAGTGATTTTGGAGCCCAAGAAAATAAAGTCTGTCCCTGTTTTCATTGTTTTCCCATCTATTGGCCATGAAGTGATGGGACCAGATGCCATGATCTTAATTTTCTGAATGTTGAGTTTTAAGACAAATTTTTCACTCTCCTCTTTTACTTTCATGAGGCTCTTTAGTTCTTCTTTGCTTTCTGCCATAAGGGTGGTGTCATCTGCATATCTGAGGTTATTGATATTTCTCCCAGCAATCTT